GCTTGTACCTCCCAGTAATCTGAAAACATGTCAATTAAGCCACGTATTCATTTGCTTAAGGAGATGATATTTAAATAATAAACAATTAGGTGCTTTGCATGGTAATCCCAAACACATATCTCCGTGGTCAAGCGCTGTGACTGACCACAAACAAGTGATCACACAGCCAGAAGAAAGCAGGAGAGGCAGATTATTGTCTAACATGAAACTGTTCACCGCCCAGGACCTCAGCACTGTCAGCTTCTTAGTTGTCTGATATTAACCGTAATCGGATTTGTACTCCGGTTGTAATTAAGCCTCTGGAAACCATCATATTTTGCTGCTTTTGAAAAGGACTCTCTCACAGACTAGATTCACAGACAGGTGAAAGGAGCCATTCCATTGAAAAAAAAAAAATAAAAGAAAGGCAAAGAACACGGGCTTTTTATTTTTTCTTTTCTTTTTAATTGAGCTGAATGGCTCAGCCTTCCCAGGCTGCTATTTTTCTAGATTAAAACATAGATGCATGAAATGTTATTTGTGAATACACCTGGGAAAACTACCATTCTGTGTTGTTAAAAAACCCCAAACAAACAAACAACAACACGCCAAAGAAACACCACGCAAATTACATTCGTGAGGTCCAAATAGCTGCAGTGCTAGCAAAGACTCATGCAGGAGCTTACCTTGAGACCTTAGAAGCTTCTTCCAAAATTGTACCCTCCTTAATGAGTGATGAGGGATGGGTTTTGGATGGAGAAGAGACGCAATGATCTAGCCAGTAGATGGAGGTTGTTCCTTGTTCCTAGCAGAGGATCCCTATGTTAATTAAAATAAACAAGCTGCTTGGTGGAAAGATTTTTTTTCCTCCCTTCTCTCCCTCTCTCTTCCCCCTCCCTCCCCCCTTAGCCTCTGATATAGAATTGACGTGAATTTCTAACCTCTGACCTCCTGCCAACACACAGATACCTGCCTTTTATTTTCTGTTTGTTTCGAAATACTTTCTAAAACAAAACAAATAAATAAATAGGAAGAATGAATGAAGCAAAAAATAAATCCAACCTCTCGATTTTGGCTGGTTTGCTGGATTTTCTTGATTAGCTGTCTCAGCTCCTCAGTAATCAGGTGAGGTGTTAATGGGGAGCTGGTTGTAAATAAAACTAATAAAGCAAAGAACATATTAGGAAATTAAAAAAAGGCGAGGACTGAGAGGCTGTTAAAAATATTGTAGCGAGCTGAGCGTTTCCCCATCACGTCGTTTTTTTCGTTCTGTGCTTATTCACAGCTGAGCAGCAAACCCCGGGTTGTTGCCATCTCTCCACATTTTTTTTTTTTCAAATCGCACTGAACCAGCCATGGACTGCATCAACCCTTCCCACTTTCATAAAAAGCCTCTCAAATGGAGTCGCTAAACAGCAAACTTCAGCCTGATCTGATGTGATATGATATACGGATTCATGGAGCAACCTCGCTTTGCCAAACCCGATGAAACTGTGAGTTGTCATGCAATACTACGCAGTCAAACCTGGGATAATTGTAAAAGTGAACCCAATTTAACCCATTAGAATAAAATCAGATGCCAAGACGAATCGGAATCATTGTTTCTTAGGTGACAGTACTGATGACAATTGATCCACCGGTTCAAAACAATAGAAAAATATAGGGTCGAGAGTCATTTCGCGTACTCTCCCTGCTCGGGGGAAGCGGGGAGCCGGCGGGGAGGCAGGAGCCGGCTCCCGGCCGGACTGCGGAGGGGCTGCTGCCGCGCCTCCCGCCGGCCCTGTGAAGCGGCTCTCGCAGGAAGGGGCTCACTGAGAGGACCCTGTGGCCGGGGAGCTGTTTCTGCAGCAACCACAAGAGATGACTTCTCGCTTCGGCTTTGTTTGTTTGCCCGTTTCTCTTAACTCCTGCGACAGTTTCAGTCCTTCTCCCCTGAGCCATGTGACCCTCAGGTCTACGTGGCCAGCTTAGTAATCTATCACAAAAAAAAAAAAAAAAAAAAAAAAAAGGGAAGCAAGGGATGCTAATGATCTTCCTTGGAGTTTGTCAGCGGAGCCCCGGCAGCGTGCGGAGGAGGCAGGGCGGTCTCGGCTTCCCACCGGGGTGCGCACCGGCGGGGGGGGTGTCCGGCCGTGTGCCCGGGGCAGGGCGGCGGGTCCCCCAGAGTCTCGGCTCTGCCGAAAGGGTGGCAGCTCGGCAGCGGCCGGGGAACAGCGCGGTGGCACCGGCAGCCTCTCTCCCCGCCCCGGGCTCCCTCCCGACCGCCGGGGGGAGGCCCTTTGCCAGCCCTCCCTTGGGCAGGGGTGGGTGGGGAGCGCGGGGAACCCGGGGCGCTCGGCGGGAGCGGCGGCATCGTGCCTGCGGTCCCCATGGACGCAGGCGGGCGGCAAAGGGCACATCCCACCCGACAGCAGCAGCTCACCTGGAGAAACCGGCCAGGGAGGTGTCGGGCGGTTCTGTGTATGTGTGTCTGTTGTGCGTGTGTTAGTGTGGGTACTTCTGGCCGAGAAACTAAAAGCCGGGTATGTCTCTGCAGGAGTAGTGGATTTAGGGCAGAGACCACGAGCTCTCATTACGCAGGGTTTGCTGCGCCGGCTCCGGGACCGTGCAAACCCGTCTTGTTCCCATGGTCTGGATGGCGAGAGCTTTTAAAGTAAGGTTTTCGTTAAATCCGCTGATGACCAGGAAGTTTAAAGCCAAAAGTGGGAGCAGCCCCGGTACAGGGGTAGCTGAACCCGTCCGTTTGTGCGTGCGGGGAAGCGGCTGAGCACGCAGGGAGAGAGGGGCCTTCATGGGACGTGCTGTCTCCTTAACCTCCCTGAGAGAGCAGCCGCCATCTGCGCCAAGGTACAACAATAAGAATTATTAGTATCATAATCACCACGGTGCTGTTGATGCGACTTTGAGGGAGAAGCCCAGCCCCACGGCCCCGCTCCGGCTCTGACTCCGCTGGACGCCGCAGCCGCGGGCTCTTCCCCGTTCCTCCGCTTACTCTCTAAATCGCCTAAAATACTTTTTCCCCAATTACCGGCGCTCTAATAGGAGCAGGAGGCAGAGGAATATGCAAGGCTTATAATAAGCCACCTGCTGCGTCACGTCTAACTAATGTTATGCTTTATTTCATTACTGCTGCCGCGGCAGCAGCACCGGCCCGTGCGTTACGAATCCCCCACCCAGCATGACAGCCGGGAGAGAATCCCGGCGGGGGTCGGAGGCCGGTCAGCGACAGTGACCGAAGCTCGGTTCCTGAGCACGGAACCAGGACCCACGGACGGTAACTCGGCGCGGGACTGGGTCCCGGCCTCTGCTTTGGGGCGCACAATTCCCTGGGTCCGTTTAGAGCTGTCTTTTCCCTCAATGACCCTCTCCCCCTCTATTTGCATGGACACGCGAAGCTATATAAACAGCAGTAATAGTCTCATACATTAAATCAGTATTTGTTAGCAGAGCTATTCCGAGTCATTTCAGATATTTGGAATCAGTCTGTTCAGTGTAGCTCCAACCTATTGACTTGCCAGACGAGATGTTCATGTGGACCCACTTGCTAAAACGGTGAAAACAGACTTTAGCTCTAAACTGTGCTACTCTCCCATCTGACGGATGTTAACACACAAATAAAATCCATTTGGATGTTTTGTGTTACCAGAAGGCTGCGCTGACGTTCAAATGATCTAAATCTTAGCATCTGGAAGCCTGTACCAGCATCTTTTTGGAGTAGGTTTCAAGACATTTCATTCAACCCAAGCTGAGGAAGAATCAAAATGGGACACCAGGAAACTGGCAATAGTTTCCCGTCTAAATGAAACTGGCTTTTCATTTGAAACCACTAAAATGAAGAAAGGAAAAAAAACCCCAGCAACCAAAAAAAGCCTTTCTATTTACTACAGCCCCTCTGAGAAACCCCAAACCCTCCCAGCCAAGGTCCATGACGGAGGTGCTGCGAGGCATCGGGATGTCCCGAAGGTCACTACCGCCTGCGAGTCCTCCCGCTGGCAGAGCGCTCCACGGCGAGAGCAGACCGACTTCATCTGAGGGACACTGGCTGGGCTCGGGATTCGTTTAGGATTTTCTGGGCGCAGCAACTCATCGACACTATGATAGGACATGTTATGTGAGTGCCATTCAGCCTTAATGAAGATCTGTTGGAGAAGTCGAGAGAGACAATAAATACAGCTGTCCGGATGTCGGTGACTTTAGCAGGAAATAAAGGAGGGCTCCGTGTTAATGAAACAAAGATGCTGTAGCGCTTGGCAAGGGCCTCGAACGTCCAGGAGTGCTCAGTACCTCCTGGGTGCTCATGAATACCTGTGATGTGCGGTACACTTCATATTATGTTTGCAAACAGAATTCTTTTGTCTTTCAAAGGCTTTTACAAACTTGGACACCAAACAGACCGATGTTCAGTCAAATGCAAAGAATTTAAATTATTCAGGAACCCAAGCCATTCCGTGGAGCCTTTCTTCCTACCATCCCCCATCTCAGTGCCGGGGATTTAATCCGGTAGCAAGTGTGTCAGGGAGCCGCCTCGGCCCTGCCCTAAGGCGGCAGGATCATCTCCCGGGGCTGGGGGGCCGGAGACCCGGCGGCGGCTTCCCCGGTCTCCCCTCGGGAGCGCTGGTGTTCAGGCATGGCCAAGCTCACTGTGCAGAGACGTCGGAGCATCCCCCGGAGCAGTCGAAGGGGATGGGCTTATCCCAAAGGGCGGATTTTCCCGGTACGCGGCGGGAGCGCTCCGCCGCCCCGGGCATCTGCCTCTGCCGGTGAGGAGCGACAGCCGGGCTCGGCAGTGCTCACACACACAGCACAGCACACAGCACACAACACACACCACAGCGACACACAGCACAGCACACAACGCCGTCCCGCCCTGCCCCTCCCGCCCTCCCAACAGCCGAAACTCAGGGGCATCGACAACTCTTGGTCATCCCGCTGCTTTACAAAAGTAACGTTAGATACACCTGTGGGATTTACTGATCCATTTCTTAGTTTCTTTTAAATTGAAAATAATTGTATTGCGGGATTGTAACCCATTAATCGTAGCGCAAAAGAAAGGGAAAGGAGGATCAATGATGCGCCGTCTAAAACACACGTTGACGTATGGTTCAGTTTGCGTTTTATGACAATTAAAATGCATTCACTGTGAGCCAGGATAAGGTACAGCAAATGCCAGTATTCCAGCAGTGGTAGCCATAAAGAGATGATGAGCTTCGGTTTCGCAGCCGCTCTCGCAGAATGTAATGTTAATACTCATAATTTAAAAAAAAAAAAAAAAAGAGTTGAAACGCTTCTTTTTGGACTGGTCTTTCACGTTAACTTGGTCATATCGACACTGCAGAAGAAATAAAACAAGTCCTTATTGCATTACTCAGTAATCAGTATGGAAAAGCCCAACCATGCTTATGGTTAACAAGAATTGTTAATGATATATAAATCATTTGATCTATTGTGCCCTCCAGTCTTAAAGGAAAATAATGGCAACCCCAAGCAAATGGTCCTAATTAGTGTCCAAGAAACCACTTCCTAAAGTATCCTTCCAACTCATTCCAGTTAACTGTCCAGAACAATCTTTTGTTCTTAAACCCCTGTATTTTGCGTGTAACTACAAAAATGCTCTGGATACCTTCGCTTTGAAAATAGCTCATCTCAGGGTACAGCCCAGCACAGGGAGCAGGGGAGAGGACGAGATGATCTCACACTCTGACTGTTGCCTGTAAATAGGTCTCGATTATTTGAAACTATATTTCCCTAAAGCCTTGCCTTCTGACAAAGCCTCCTTAGAGAAGTACCAAAGGGGATTTCATCAAAAAATCGAGTCTCTGGTGCCACTCGGACTGCAACACAAACTTAGAAAAGAAAAAGCTAAAACCGGATCCAGAACCAAGCTGTGCATATTCGAGCTGTCTGTTACATGCTTTCACCCACTCTTCCCACCATTTTCAAGGGTGATCTGTAAGTTAAATGCATCGCGGGTACACCCATATATACCACACCTGATGTGGTACCCAGGTGATGTGTCCCAGATTCGGGCACATACTGGAGGAGTAACAGAGCTTGGCCAGTGGGTTATTGTGGCCTTGATCTTATCTCCACTGCAAACAACTCAACTCCCGCCGTTTGCTACCACGGGAGGCCTCTTTCTCAGACGTACGTAATACAAACTGCTATTTCTCATTAGCTGGAGTACCAAATCCTGTTGCTTCATGAAAATCGTCCAGTCTTCCACTGAGTCCCGCATATTCTGTCACTTCTATACCACTATAAAGCATAATTCCTAAAGTTTTAAACACAATGCTGAACTACCTTGGACACAAAACCGATCTTGGTCCTTGGTCCTATAATCTTGCTGTTGCTTTGGTGTGGTGTGTGTTTTTTTGTTGTTTGTTTGTTTGGGTTTTTTGTTTTGTTTTTTGTTTTGGTTTTTTTTTTTTGGTGTTTTTTTTTTCCCCTCCTTTTTAATGAAAGCTGGCTGGAAACAGACTTTCTGGCATGGGTTCTCTTCCTAAACGTGACGGACTTGCCAAAGGAAATAGAACTTCTATAAAACGACAGTGAATTAAATAGCTGCTGTGTAGTGCTCTTCATGCTGTTTCCAAGAGATAACGCTAACGGGAAATGCTGCAATCTTTTGACTAAGAAAATCCGTCAGCGACCTTCCCTGGACTTAAAACGTCCTTGACTCATTTAAAATTAGGGTAAAACACGTAAGATGGGTTGCCAACTCTTACTGCTCCAGCATAAATGGCTTTACTAAGTCACGGAGACAACACACAAGCTGATGCCGAAAGGCCAGGTTTCTTACTCACGTGTCTGCGCGCAGAGAGAGCCACAGCAGTTACCCCTCCGCAAGCGGGCAACTTCGGAGAGCACTACAGCCCCAGCAACTGGATCCACTGCGGTCTGCTGGCCAGCCTGAAAGCAAAAGCAACCAACCTCGGCTCTCTGGAGCCTTCAGCACTTTCGGGTTTCATATTGCAAGCGAGTTTGATATTGTCCTTTTGTAACTGCTTAAAATGAAACACGCTTGCTTGGTGATTCATGATTAAATGCCTTTATAAAGAAATTATAGTTATTCACAGAGACTTGGCAAATCAATGGATGGGGACAGGTTATAGAAGCGATTGTGGCGGCTCTACATCTAACACTTTAGTGCAGCCACAGCCTCACCGTTCCCCGTCCGTTCCCTCGGGGCACCGTTGGCAGTGCCCCAGTCAGCCCGGGCCGTCGGTGCAGCGGGACCGTGACGGATCAGAGCCCGGGGGCCGCCCCCGCACCTCCCGGGGGGAGCGCGGCCGGGGCGGGCTGGGGCTGCGGGGTGCGGGGCTGAGGTGTGCGGGGCTGCGGGGTGCGGAGCTGGGCACAGCAGCGCCGGCGTCTGCCGGAGGTCACGGAACATTCACACTCCTTTCAATTTAGACGTTGCCCCCTCTTTGACACTATTTCCTCTTCCCTTTCCAAATTTCATCTCCTCGACTTGTAAAACACTTCAAGAATTCCTCATATTTTACTGCTTTTCAGAGCTCCTTGATCAAAAGCAACATTTATCCCTCCAAGCCTCCGCGCTCCAACGTGCCCCGCAGTTGCCAGCCCGGGGCCACCGAGCCACTGCTGCCCGCGGGGGAGCAGCGAAGGCGCCGGGGAGCGGGAGATGCCACCGGGGAGCGGGACCGGGAGCGGGACCGGAGTCACTTAGCACATCTGCGCGCCGCTGCCGGGCGATTATCAGGTCATTTCTTCCGTAATGCAAACCATGCGCTCACGTATTACATCAAACCGCTAATTGCGAGTGATACGTGCGGTAAAGGAGGTCAGCGGCTGCAGCGAGCTGGGGCTCAGGGGAGCGCTCCGGGCAAAGTTTGGTGGGCAGCCCCTTCCCCGAGCCGCGCCGGCGGCCTCGGGTAGCGGCCGGGAACTCTCGAAGGGAATATCGCCGCCCGGGCACGTGCCAGGGCGGTGGCAGCCCCTGTCTGTCCCGCCGGCGACAACCCCACCGGCGTCATCCCACGGCACCTCCCGCCCACCGCCGCCGGCCCGGCTGCTGCTCCGGAGGGAAGCGGTGCCCCGAACGAAAGGAACGGAGACAGCCTAGGCCCGTCTGTGACTTCTCTGTGAGGGGCTGGTGGCCGTGTTTAGGTATCTGGGTACTTTTTAGGGATGGTTGGAATGCCAAATGCCACACATCCGGAGCCACTACTAGCAAGGACTCCCTAGTCGGGATATGCCTGAAATCAGTGTCAGTGAAACCTTAATTTGTGTTTTGGTATATTTTGATACCACTTTAAATGGCACAGTTGCACAGTTTCTCTTTCCCCATACGTACCTCTTTAACCCATTTCTTCTGTGAGTCCAGTGTTGATTTTCAGCGCGATCTCAGGTTGCACATGGTATTTCTCAGGAGACATAGTCTTACCTTTCAAACCTCCTTCTTGAGCCTTCAACCTCAGTCCCATTCCCAACCATAATGCCTTTGATGAAGCATTTCTATTTTCCTTGTCCCAGAATTCTCGGTCTTGACATCACGAGTTTCACCACAGTCAAGTATCTCCAAAAGCCCAGAGCATGAACCGAAAGGCTCAGGCTCTTCGCTGGAATTGAAGCCTTGCTGCTGGACTGTTTGTCCCCAGACTTTTTGTTCAGCCTTTTCTAGTCGTCTACGTGGATTATGCCTTTTTCCTGAAGTTGTGGGCTCAAGGTGACTCACCTTCCTTTCTGGTTCCTCTCCTGTTGCCTCTTCCAGTGTAGTGATCACCTCCTCACTCCTTTATTATTTTGCCTTCCCAAACATGATGGTTCTCAGGGAACACAGCTGCTCATCAGATGTCCCTTTATTCCTCCTCCATGCTGAGTGTCAGTTCGTTTCCTCGGTTGAAGTCTACTCTCTGTTCTCTCCCGCTAAAGTTCAATCCTTGCTGGTTCTGTGTGTAAATCAGAGGCTTTTCTCTCCCACAAGTTCTAAGGCCAGCAGGAAGTGCAGACAGCACCAGAGAAAAGGCTTCTTTCACTGATTCCAGACCGAGACAGTCTGGGAAGACCCGAGAAAAGTCCAGAAGAAAAATTGCAGATAAATTTGCGCTTTACCCCGAATCTGGGCATTTCTACTGAAATGGAGTCATCAGAGAATTTAACTGCATGTATTCAGCAGGTATAGCAGGATATGTGGGTACATGCAAGGCATGGTTTGTTACAGTTTATGACTTGGCCAAATTAGGATACATTTTCACTTATTTGGCAAAAGTCACATTCCCAACAGAGTGAGCTCCTAGTACACCATCTCCCTGCCAAGTTCTTTGCTGCTCCAGAGCAGGGGACGCAAGCATTGCTAAAAGTCTTTGCAACTACTAAGATGAACACAACAACATACTTTTTTTCATAGTGTTATATAAACTTATATATATATAAAAGCTAAATCTTTTTTTGGGGCAAAATTCTTGTAAAATATTTACTTTAAAGCAAATAAGAGTCTGGAAAATAGGAGCTTAATTTATTAAAAATGATAGAGTTCTAAGGAGCTGAAAACAAGTCAGCTTTATAGATAGTGAGCTGCTGACTACACTTAAAAATTTATGAAAAGTATATTGTTCAACAGCAGTGAATAACTCTAAATAATTGTCTTTATGATTGAGTGGCTGCATCAAATTGCTTTCAAGCATATAAGTTTATTTATAAATTCATGTAGTGTTCTGTGTGGTGCCTTGCAGGATCCAGAAATATGTACAAACATTGTGCCTAATCTGGAAGCTTATTTTCTTTCCTAGGACTGTCTTTACTTGTTTGATGTATGCATTATCAGTCTACTTAATAATTCATATAAATTATGAACCTTCTACCTGAGGTCACATTCCATAAATCTATTTCCTTAACAATAACCTTTAGAAAAATAATCAAGGAAATCAGCAGTTAACCCAATTATATAATCTTAATTCACCTTACATTAACATCTTGATTTATAACTGACTGTGCAGGTTCCTTTTAAGTACCCAGTGACCTCACTGGTGTAAATCCTGCCCTGGAAGAAGTGACCCAACTCTCTGATGCTGCAGTCTCAAGATCCTCTGGAACTCCTGCACCTAACTTCAGTGTATACATCTAGTTCTTAACAGCCACAGAGCTCTCAACTAACTGAAAATCTATACCCTATATACCATATTATGGAATTTATTTGAAAAAAGTGGTATTCGGGATAGGTATTGCAGCTGAGTTTGGATGATGAAGAGAAGATTGAGAAGGCATCTGGTAGAAGGGGTGTTGATGGAGTGTTGAATGACAACTACTTATTTTATCCTTACAGACTGAGTTGGTGGATTATGTTGTTTAGCAGTTCTGACCATAACAACAAATAAGGATTTAAGAAAATCTATATATACTAAAATGTCAAACACTGAAGATACATTAGTTTCCCAGATAAGTAGCCTATTTTATAGGTCTGTGAGTTATATATTTCAGTTAACTGAGTGCAATAAAACTAGACTTGCTTTTGGAGATGTCAGTCCCAGTTCCATAATCTTTGCAGGATTCAACTTCAGTAGCAGTTTGACAAATTCTCATTTTTTCAATTTAAAAAAAAATTATAAAAATGAGGACTTAGTTTAATTCATTTATTCCAAGCCACCAAACCTCTACTTTTTGAGAGAGTTGAAAAGCATTAGCTGGTAAGGCCTGTACTGGTCCATTTGGCCATAAGTGTCTGGAGGTGTTTATTTTCAGAGAACAACTGGTAACTGTGTTCTTGATATATAGAGCAGGCTTTGACTGAGTGGTGCTGGCTTTTCTCATTGCAGACAGGAGGTCCCAAAGATGTGAAGGCAGAATGTTCTAGCACATCCTTTATTTGGTCCTCTATAAAAATCAGTGCTTTGATAACAAGGATTTTAAATCAGTTTCAGTGGTGAAAATCAAAAAGGAGTGTCACCACAAAAATTTGAACCCTTTATTTCAGTGGAAAGATGTTGCTGAAATTTATTCTCATGTGGCCATATATTCCATTAAATTTGCATGGCTGCACATGATGAGATATTGTTTAGGGCACTGAAAAGAGGCCCATACAAAAGGTGCTATAGCTGCTGTATGTCTGAAGACTACAGGATGGTAAATTTTCTGTTGCAGTCTACCGAGTCCACTGAGATGATGGGAATTTTTCAGAAGATTGTGTGGAATCAAATCTTCAAAAACGTTGAGCTTCCTTAGATCTGTTGCAGAACGCGCTACCTTTACAGCACATTTTGGGAGCAGTGGGAATGAGCGTTGCCTGTCAAGAAGGGCACATTAATGGAAATATATCTTGCTTTGGCATTTGATACCTCCATATACAACCCAGAAAACTGGCATTTGTAAGAGCAGTAAGAAGTCCTGGGAAAGGTTTAGTAAATTCTTTGAACAGGCAGCCCGGGATGCCGTTATTTCTCAGTGCCGATGGCCTGGGCTACTCAGGCACTCAGTGTGCAGTGTTTTGTTGTGGCTAGTGCTTGTTTATGGGCTTTCCATACATGTGGCTTCTGAGCCAAAGCATTAAACGTTTTTACCTACTTTTCTCATGGTTCGGTTGTTTCCCCCTTGTTTGGCAGCCCATCCAATGCAGCACTCCCTAAATAAGGACATGTTGACATGTTGCACATCATTCAGCCCTCTTCTCTGGATGTTAGGAGAGTTTCAACCCCGAGTAATAGGAGCTCTTCCTACAGCTTTGCAATTTACTTAGTGGAGTCTGTTCTTTTCTAGTGGCTGCCACTAATTTCCTTCTGTATTTTTCCCTGTGTTCCATGGAACATAAATCAGTATTTTTCCAAATCACAGTTACAGACAGAAAGCCATCTGTAACAGACATTTGGAGAACATGCAATGTATCTTATTGAGCATCTTTTAATAGACTCCGCTTCTTTGAAGAGAATTCGAATTTTTTTGTGAAATGCTTTTTAGTGAACCTTCTCACATTCTCAGCTGTCTACACAAGATAATACAGTCAGCTATGAGCTTAGCAATGATGGGTATTTCTAAATACAGAAAGGAAAATAGCCTTTCAATTTCCATGTGCTGATATATTAAAAAGCACATTATAATACTAAATGGAACATACCTATTTTTGGTAAAGAAGCTGGGTTAA